ACTTACTATAAAGCTCTGGTAATCAAAACAGTGTGGTCACAGACATATAGACTAATGCAATATTAACAGAGAGCCCATAAATAAACTCTCATATATATGGTTGAGTTGTTTCGATGGGAATGTCTAAACCATTCAAGGGAGAAGACTATCTTTTCAACAAAGATGTTGGGAAAACTGGGTACCTGCATGCAAAAAGATGAGGAAACAATCATAAAAAGTAACTGAAAGTAGATAGAAAACCTAAACATGAAAGCTAGAACCACAAAGCTCCTAGAAGAAAACAAAGGAGGAAAACTTGATGGCACTGGATCAGGCAAATATTTCTTGGATGTGACACCAAAAGCACCGGCAACAACAACGACAGAAAAACAGATGCAGCCTTCATCAAAATTAAAACCCCCTGTGCACCCAAAGGAAGCTATCGAAAGAGTAAAAAGGCAACCCACAGAAGGGGAGAAAAATATTTACAAATCCCGTATCTGATAAGGAATTGATGACCAAAATATATAAGGAATTCCTATAATTCAATAACAAAAAGCAAACAATAGTCTAAAAGTGGTCAAAGTACTCAAATAAACATTTCTCCGAAGGTACACAAAGGGCCAATAAGCACATGAAAAGATGCTCAACATCGCCAGTCAAATCAAAACCTACAATGAGCTATCACTTCGCATGCACCAAGATGGCTATTTTTTTTTTTAATAGAAAATAAAAGGTGTTGGTAAAGACATGGAAAAATTATAATATTGCTCGTGGGAATGTAAAATGGTTCAGCCACTGTGTAAAACAGTTTAATGGTTCTTTAAAACATTAAACTTAGAATTAACATGTGATCTAAGAATTACACCTCTGGGTATAAATTTAAAAAAAAAAAACTGAAAGCAGGACCTTGAACAGATATGTGTGCAGCCATTATTCACAGTAGCTAAAATGTGGAAGCAACCGAAGACTCTGGCAACAGAAGAATGGGTAAGCAAAATGTGGCCTACACATACAGTGGAATATCATGCAGCCTTAAAAAAGGAGAGGCATGCTGGCATGATACGTTGAAGACATTATGCTAAGGCAAGTAAGCCAGACACAAAAGACCAGATATGCTATAATTCTTCTCCCGTGATGTCCCTAGAATGGTTAAAATTCATAGAGACAGAAAGAAGAATGATGGTCTGAAAACAAAGGAGGAAAACTTGATGGCACTGGATCAGGCAAATATTTCTTGGATGTGACACCAAAAGCACCGGCAACAACAACGACAGAAAAACAGATGCAGCCTTCATCAAAATTAAAACCCCCTGTGCACCCAAAGGAAGCTATCGAAAGAGTAAAAAGGCAACCCACAGAAGGGGAGAAAAATATTTACAAATCCCGTATCTGATAAGGAATTGATGACCAAAATATATAAGGAATTCCTATAATTCAATAACAAAAAGCAAACAATAGTCTAAAAGTGGTCAAAGTACTCAAATAAACATTTCTCCGAAGGTACACAAAGGGCCAATAAGCACATGAAAAGATGCTCAACATCGCCAGTCAAATCAAAACCTACAATGAGCTATCACTTCGCATGCACCAAGATGGCTATTTTTTTTTTTAATAGAAAATAAAAGGTGTTGGTAAAGACATGGAAAAATTATAATATTGCTCGTGGGAATGTAAAATGGTTCAGCCACTGTGTAAAACAGTTTAATGGTTCTTTAAAACATTAAACTTAGAATTAACATGTGATCTAAGAATTACACCTCTGGGTATAAATTTAAAAAAAAAAAACTGAAAGCAGGACCTTGAACAGATATGTGTGCAGCCATTATTCACAGTAGCTAAAATGTGGAAGCAACCGAAGACTCTGGCAACAGAAGAATGGGTAAGCAAAATGTGGCCTACACATACAGTGGAATATCATGCAGCCTTAAAAAAGGAGAGGCATGCTGGCATGATACGTTGAAGACATTATGCTAAGGGAAGTAAGCCAGACACAAAAGACCAGATATGCTATAATTCTTCTCCCGTGATGTCCCTAGAATGGTTAAAATTCATAGAGACAGAAAGAAGAATGATGGTCGCCAAGAACCGAGGGGGGTGGGAAAGGAAGTGAGTGAGTCATGGGTGGAAGGGTTTCAGCTGGGGAAGATGAATGCCTTCTGGAGATGGGCAGGGTGATGCCTGCCAACCTGTGACTGTGCTTAATGCCACGCACTGTACAACTAAAAATGGTAAACTTATGTCTGTTTTACCATAATAATAAAAAAAATGAGGTGAACAGAAACAAAGACTGATCAAGTGAATGAGGACCAAGCATCTCTCATTTCTGTGAGCTATGAAGCAAACTCCCTGTGGGTGTAGCAGCTTCCCTGACCTGGTTCAAAAACACAAGGTTCAAACCAGAAAGAGAAATAAAGGAAAACGAGGGGTGATGAGCTCAAGGTTCAAAAATACTTCCAACTGCATTTGTGAGTGTGGGTCTGATAGAACCCATGTTTCTAAAACAGATACCACTTTCAAAGTCATGAACTTACTTCTTTGGGGTTTGTATCTTTCTTTTATAGGAATGGATCCTGTTTCCCTGCCAATAAAGTTCCCTGCAGCAAGACTTCATGCAATGTTTGAATATCAGACTCAAGGAACTCATCTAAATAATTAAAGTAGTGGGCAGGGGCCTAGTGAGATAAAGGGAATTGTCTTTGGTTATTCATTATTTCTTTCTGCCTTTTGGATGGAAACAGGTGTGCAGGATGGTCAAGATAAGATTGTGAAAAGAAATACATAAAGGAGTCTTCTATCACATTCTCACTGAAGTGATAGACACAATTCAAAGATATTTTAATATCTTTCTTTAGAATAAAGTATCCTTGTACGCCTTATCCACAGCTAGGCAACCACTATCTCATTTCCATCTCATTCAGAGGGATGCACTGGCCCAAACATGCTGGCTGTCTTAGGAAATACGCTGGGTTGTGCATGGGTCTGGCTTTATTTCTCCTCCGTGACAGGAAAAATGAGTCCACTTTTCGACACTTTTGTCTTTCATAAAGTCAGTGCCAGGAGAGAAAACCACTGACTTCATTATGGATGGTCTTTGCAAATCCACCCACAAATCAGAAGAGACTGAGCTGACCTGAAAATTATCTGTTTCTGCATTCAATTTTGCTCCGCGAGAAAGAGATACAGAGAAGAGATACGGGGAGAGATCTAATCTCTTTAATCATCCTGCTTCAGGCAGAAAAATGATGACAATTTGGGGAAATACATGCCAGCGAAACAACCTGGTGCCTACCCCCTCCCCAAGCCCCACCCAGCCACGGACACTTTACAGTGACCTCGCCCCAGAGGACTGGGCAAACCCCAGCACGCCAGTCCCCTGAGGTTCCCCACAGATGGCACCCACCCGCCACGTGGGATGTGCACCCAGGGCACGGGACACCCAGGGGCGGCGGGTCCACTGAGAACCCTCCTGAGGAAGACCGGCCACTGGGACCCCTCTAAGGCTCACCATCTCTGCTACGGGCCTGGTCAGGACTCACAACTCCCCCCACCGGTCAGACTGGTTCCACCTAAAGTAGGCTCTGAAAACACCCACAGGCCTGAGGACTTGAGGCAGAAATGAGCCAGCGCCCCACCACTGAGGACACCTCTGAAGGGAAGGAGAGAGGTGAGAGAATTGGGCTTGAGCCTATTTGTGATTCTCAACAGTAAGACCTCTTCGTTACAAGCCCCAGTTCCTCTTACTGGGCTTAACCTTTGACCTGTTCTATAGAATGGGGTCATGCTTTCTACGCTCTTCTTTTCAAATCAGCCAATCTGATATTAATGGTAATGAATAAAGGGAAAGACAATGGGAACACAGCAGAATGATGCGAATTGGTTTTCTTCATGGCAAAAAACAAATATACATATATATATATATATAGCTGTTGCTTAGTCGCTAAGTCATGTCCAACTCTTTACAACTCCATGGATTGCAGAATACTAGGCTCCTCTGTCCTCCACTATCTACAGGAGTTTGCTTAAACTCATGTCCACTGAGTCTGTGATGCTATCTAACCATCTCATCCTCTGCCGCCTGCTTCTCCTGCGCTCAATCTTTCCCAGCATCAGGGTCTTTTCCAATGAGTCACCTCTTCGCATCAGGTGGCCAAAGTCTTGGAGCTTCAGCTTCAGCATCAGCCCTTCTAATGATTATTCAGGGTCAATTTCCTTCAGGATTTACTCTATATAGGGTAGGGTAGTGCCCACCCCACTCCAGCACTATGTCCCAAAGCCTAATTCTGTCTGGAATGCTCCTTATTCCCCTTCTTCACCTGGAGCCTTGCACCTCCAGGTCATCTAACACCTGTAAGGAACACTTCCCCATCACTTCCCACCCAATGAAGGGGTAAGCAACCCTCACTGGAGCACAACAGCGCCCTCTGCCCACACTGATGAAGTGTCATCAGAAAACTGCCCATCTGCTACCCACTGGACGACATGCTCTTCATGAAACAGGTACCTAATAAATGGTACCCAATAAATGCCCATCACGTGGGGCCTGCAGAAGGGCCCCTCCGGCTCCCAGTCCACGAGCAGCTCTTCTACAAGACCCTGCGGTAGTTCATCTTTTACCTCTCCACTCCCAGAGTCCTGCCACACATGTCCAGCATCTTTCCATCTGCATCCTTGCTTCACGATGCCTGGCATCGTGTGACACCAGTGTGGACTGGATGAATCGTGTAACAAATCAATACAGATTTTCAAGACAGCAAAACTACTACTTGAATCCTAAATCTGTTGGAAAACACTGCAGTTTTATTTGCATCTATTTCCCACTAGAAAACTCAAGACCAGACCGGGGTCTTAAATAGCAGAGACAAACTCTAACATCTCAGTTCTGACAGCATCACCAGGGAGACACATCCCGGACAGCTGACCGTAGGCCCAGAATAAGCACAGTTTCACCCGGACAAATGGCGCCAGTGAGCCCGCCCAGGGCACCTGCACACACTCAGCCCTGTTAGCAAACCACCCACCTGGACAGGTTCCGAGGGGCAGCAGGACTGTGCAGGTCTCGCCTGGCTCTGGATGTGGAGAAGATGCAGCCCAGGAGACCCAGCCCATCAGTGGCCCACCCTTCCAGGACCCTCGTCGAGAAGAAGAGGCTTGAGCGGAATGTGTCCGTGCCCTGCCTCAAAGGAGGGAGCCCAGGGTTCTGAGATGGCCAGACCCGGGCCACCAGCCTGTCATGTCTGTTTTCTCGGGCACGTGGGAGAGCTTGATCCAAAGGTCTTCCTCCCGCCAAAGTCATCAAGCGTGAGAGCAAAGTCCCCCAAGGACCCAAGACAAATGTTTCCTTAGTTAATCACTTGATAAATCTGCCTTCCACGGACAGTGTGCAGACAGGGAGCAGGCAGCCTGATCACGGAGCGGGTGCCTGCAGCTGGGCTTCCCTTCCCAAAGCAGACCCCAGGAAGCGATCGCAGATCTCATGTGACGGGGACACACGGGCAGGAACGCAGATCCAAAAACGAGGCAGTAAAGAGACCCGCGCAAGCTGGGAGGGTCTCCCCTGCCCGCCTATTCACCGCTCCAAGTGCTTCGCTCTGGCCGGCCAGGAGCTGCCTTTAGGCCCAGACAGTAACAACCTCCATCCCTCCCACCAGGCTGCTAAGCCCGGGCCTGGTCAGACCCTCTCTCTTGTGACCATGATTGTGAGTTCACAGAACACCCTGCAAGGATGAAGCTGTGTGCCCTCCCAGTAGAACCGGCTACACACTTCTCAGGGCCCAATGCAAATAAAAGAGTGAAATCCCTTGTTCAAAAATGATTAAAAATTTCAAGACAGAATGGCTAGCATCTTTTTTTTTTTTTTTTTTTTCTCNCTCCATGGACTGTAGCCCGCCAGGCTCCTCTGTCCATGGGATTCTCCAGATAAGAATACTGGAGTGGGTTGCCATTCCCTCCTCCAGGGGATCTTCCTGACCCAGGGATGGAACCCGGGTCTCCTGCATTGCAGGCAGATTATTTGCTGTCTGAGCCACCAGGGGAGCCCAGGAAGTGAAATAAGTCAGTCGCAAAAGGACAGATACTCTGTGATCCCCTTTATATGCCGTACCAGAGTAGACACACTCAGAGAGACAGCAGAATGCTGGTTTCCAGGGGCTGGGGGTGGAGGCGAACCACGGCTTCACGGATACAAAATTTCAATTTGGGAAGACCCAGAAGGTTCTGGAGATGGACGGAGGTGATGGTTGCACAACAATGTGAATGGACCTAAGGCCACTAAACTGGACACCCAGAGATGGCTAAGATCATCAATTTAGTGGCATGCATCTTTTATCATAATTTAAAAAATAAGTAAGTAAAAGTGAAGTGCAGGGTACATGTCTCAGGACGGTGAGTCTGGCTCCAGCTCCCAAGCAGGGTTCCCTTTCCAGGACGAGGCTGCCCCATTTTGCAAGGGCAGTGCTTCTCCAGCGGAGCGCCTGCGAGCCTGACTGCAGTGTTATATTTTAATAGTCATTTCAATTGACTATAAAAATACAGCCTCACATAATAAAATTGCTTTTGCACTGTGGTAGAAATACTTAGCAAGAGATGAGAAATACTTAGCAAGAGGCTATAAAAACCTATTTGCTTGCTTATAGAGCCGCTGCTGAACAGGACAAAAGCAGACGGGGATAAAGGCAGTGGCTCCATCCCAGAACATGCACACAGCAGCGGGTCCACCACGAGGCTCAACACACAGGATCTGCTCAGTGGTTTTCTTTAAAACACTGAACCGAAAAATGACCATCTCTCCATTATTTGTTTCATTTTTAACTTTTATAGCTCCGTCACGTTTGACATCAGCACACACTCATTTCCCTGCAATTCCCCGTCGCTGCCTCTTACTCACCACAGCAGGCTCTAGATAACACCGCAGCTGACCACTGGAGCCACAACACCCACCTCCACCAAAATAGTTCCTCCACCACAGCAGTTTCCCAGGAGAAATCCCAACCACACATGAGGGGCAGGCTACTCAGAGTTCCCACAAGGCCTTTGCCCCAAAGGCATCCAGTGAGAAAGATGGGGGCTCATCAGCACCACCACGAACCATCGTCATCACCAACCATTCCAACATCAACACCCCATCACCAGCAGGACCACCATCAACCACCATCACCAACAATGTCAACATCAACACAAGGGAGTTGCTACCATTCCCATTTCACAGGTAAAGAAACTGAGGCACAGATATGCGAAACTGCCTGCTCGAAGGCACAGGTGTGTTGGATTGGCCAAAACATTCATTTAAGTCTTCCGTAACATCTTACGGAAAGACCCAAATGAACTTCCTGGTCGACCCAACAGAAGCACGGGAACACGGCACTTTGGAGTCAGGCATCAGACCCTGGCATACATGTTGTTACAAAACCACCGGGCGACGTTCTAACCATGTGCCACCCCTGCTCCCCCCGGGCAGCGGGACACTACTCTTCCTCCCTGGTCACCCTCCGCCTGCTGCTCCCTGAATAGCTCTCATAAAGCCAGACGGAAAGATGTCAAAACCAAAGTCACACAAAATAGCATCCATATCACACAAGGACTGTCATAAGCAAACCTTGTCACCAAGTCCTTTTTAGGTGAAATATTCCCTAGTAATACTTTTCCCCTCCAGATCCTTCCCACATCTGTCAAGCTGCTACACTCTCCTGTCTACCGTGGATTTATAGTTATTACACAGAAAGGACACTCGATACCCCACATTCTCATCACACAGAGAGATCTATCCGTGTCCCAGCTCTGCCCTGCTCCTTTGGAACAAAACAGGGGCGCACTGATGGCCTGGGGGGAGAGGGGGTTTGCAAGAACAGAGCCCATCATGTGAGCATTCCTCACCGTCCTACACATTCAGGACCGTCATGGGTGGTTGGGTAGGTTGCTGACTGCAGAAAGGCTCAGGGCATCGACAGGCATTTGTGGGAGGCAGGCCTGGGTGAGGGTCAGGGTTCTGGCGAGCACATCAGCTGGGCCTGCCTTCTCACCAGCTCCAGCCACACCTTGGTTGCTCTGAGGACCAGGCGAGGTGACACAAGACACGCTGGTACACAGTCTCCACCTTGGGAGGGCGGACAGGGGCAAACGTCCCTTGTGAGAGAGCAGAGAGAAAAATCAAAGGACCAGAAGAGCTAATATACTTGCAGAGGCAGAAAGTTTGGGGCTAATCGTAGCTGAATAGCTGGACTCAGGAATCACTTAAGAGGTTGAGACCCTGGGGAATCTTAGTGGCTCAGCTGCTAAAGAATCTGCCTGCCAGTGCAGGAGATGAAAGGGACACGAGTTTGATCCCTGTTGGGAAGATTCCCTAGAGAAGGGCATGGCAACCCACTCCAGTATTCTTGCCTGGAGAATCCCACGGACAGAGGAGCCTGGAGGGCTACAGTCTATGAGGTCACAAAGAGACAGACATGACTGACACACACAAGAATCCAGAGAGATACAGCCTCTGGTCCAGGGTGCTGGCCATCAGACCCTGGACCTGGGATCTTCCCGCTGCATCTCAGGCACTGGAGGACCTCTCCCGTGCCCCAGCACGCCATCCCTGATCCTGCGGTAAGGAGCAAAGGTTTAACATGTATATATAGTTTATATATATATATATATTTTTTTTTTTTTTCAGTTTTAGTATCATTGCAGGAGACATAAGAGACACGGGTTTGATCCCTGGGTCAGGAGGATCCCCTGGAGGAGGGCATGGCAACCCACTCCTGTATTCTTGCCTGGAGAATCCCATGGACAGAGGAGCCTGGTGGGCTCCATAGGGTGGCAAAGAGTCGGACACGACAGAAGTGACTAAGCATATTAAATCAATGGGCTTCCCAACGGAGCAACTTTCCCACTCTCACACATACTTAATCCATACGAGATACGTAATGCCTTTTTTTTTTTTTTTTAGTTTTTAAGCTAGGGAAGGTTGGAGATCCTTTCATCTTTAATAAGGAGCAGTGCTACCCTAGATAAATAGACTTAGATTTCTCATCTTTTTTTAAGAGTTTTAATTACTCTAAAGAAGGGAGCAAAACTGCGGCAAACTGTTTTCCACCCAAATCTGGAGTCAGTGCTGGATGCTTTCATTTCTTCCCCTCTTCCAGTATTATGAAACTCTCAGAGTCAATGCTTGCAACGTCTCTTCGGACATTTGTACTTTTCAACAGACAGCATCACCACTAAGGAACAATGGAGGACAGGATTGCAAATGAATGTCATGTCTAATGTCATGTTCCACTGTCAGCTCTTCTGCACTTGTCACTGTTTTAAATCTAACTCTGCACATGAAAACCCATGCAAAACCTGTTATGTTGTTCAAAATTTGCAAATAAAAACACCTCTGTGTGTAGGCACCCGACTCTGCCTCACCTTCCCCAGAAGCCCAGGGGGTTCTCCCACACGCTGTGCGAGAATAAAGGGTCTTCCTGTGGGCAGGTGGCCCCCACCCTGGAGCCTGGCGGGATGTGCAGCGGGCAGAGGTGCAGGGTCAGGGAGGGGAGGTCACGGAGCCCTGCCCCTCGAGGTACCCCATCCCTGGCCGAGCAGGCACGGTCTGCCAGCACTCAGGATGTGGGCACCCCTCCCAAAGCCTGCCTCCTACACTGGGGGTCACCTTGCCAGAAAATGCCTATGAGGTTCCATCAGGCTGACCCCCAGCCAGCGACAGGCTGATGCCAGAACACAGAAGGCAGGCCTGTGCCTCAGTGGGGGAGCCGATCCCGGTGCTTTTCAAGCTGGGAGCTGCTTCTCCTGTCCTGCCTGCATCCCCGTGGCCCTTCAGGCCTCTCCCGGGAGCCAGCCCTGCCCCCGCAGCCAGCTCCTGTCAATCACTTGAACAGAATCCCATTCTCAGGCTCTGCTTCTAAGGTTCCAGCTTAGAAATGGGGGTACTCTTGACAAAGACAGAAGTACAACCTCACCAAGGAAATTCGAAGTTCCATAGATTCCCAAAACAAGAGAAAGTTCAAACCATGGGCCAGGAGGAAGTAAGAGAGGGGGAGGAGAGGAGACGGGGCGTGGGGAGAGAGAACAGCTCGACTTTTAACACAAACACAGAGAGCTTAAGCAACTTGTCTGCGGTCCCTCAGCTCAGAAGCGGCCGCGTCACGGAAGCACAGCCCTAACCACCTCTCCCCAGAGCCTCGCAAGAGGGTCCAGACGATCTCCGCCAACCCTGTGTGCGAATGTTAAGAGGGCTGATAAAACACAGCGTAAAACTCTACATGTGTGTCGATGACCATCAGCCAAAAGCATCTGAGGCATTTTATTTCCTCATTCCTTAGATCAGGAGTCAGCAGCCACAGCCCCAGGGCCGGTCTGGCCTGCTGCCTGTTTGTGCAAAATAAAGTTTTATTATCCACGGTATAATGGGAGAGTTGAGTATTTGCCCCAAAGCGCCCAAACCCCTGGTTTGGAGAATTGAGTTGGGAGGACTCCAGGCCCAGGGAGCATCTCACCCTGTCATCCTCGGCGGCGAGCAGCCTGGGAACACCTCCTTCCTCCCACCACGTCCTGCAGGTTCCTTCCGGGGACCGGACAGGCAACCTGCTCGGATCCACACACCCAACGACAAGGACGGACCCCACCCACCCCTCGGGAAGGAAAGCAGACCCCTCCCCTCGCCCCAAAATGTGAGCACACTCAACGCAGGATGTGTTAAACGAGATTTTTCTCCATGATGTAATCCCTGCCTCCAAGGGGCACCTCCCTTTCAATCTCAGTGTCTGTATGTTCAGGTCCTTCCTACAAGGACCCCGACTGGGAACCGTGCATCCTACACAATCATCAAGGTGTGTGCAGGGAGCGTGCAGAGAATGTGTCACCTCAGGGAGGTGACATCCCTGGGACCCCCCCCAAAGGGGAGTAACAAAACTCAAGAGACTGGGACTGACAGACCTCTGAGACGGCTCCCACGATCCCACCCACCGAGGGTCACCCGCGTGAGCCCCTCCCTGTCGGCGTCAGCTGGACCTCAGTAGGGGCTTCCAAGCCAATAAAACGCAGCAGGCGATGGATGTCACGCCTGTGATGAGCTCACTAAAGGCCTCTGCCTCACTTTTGGTGTGTACGGATCTGTCTCTCTCTCTCTCATTCACTTTGATAAAACCATCTGCCCTGTTTGAGCGGCCCCACGGAGAGATCCACGTGGCAAGGTCTCCAGCTAAGAGCCACTGAGGGACCTGCCAACAGCCACTGTGTACGCGTGGAAGCGGGTCCCCTCCCCACGGCTGAGCCAGGAGGTGCCTGAGCCTGACTCGCAGCAGCCTCAGGAGGGTGCCTGAGCTGGAGGACCTTGCAAAGCCGCATTCCTGACCCACAGAAACTGAGATAACAAGCAGTGTGTTAGGCCACCAGGTTTTGACATGATTCGTCATGCAGTGGCCGGTAACTGACACACAGGAACCAGGGCAGAGCCGGCGCGGTCCCTCTGCTTTCAGCAGCCGGCCGCCCCCAAGCGCCCCAGGCAGGCACACTCCTCTGCAGACGTGTCCTCAGCTCTCCTGCCCACTCAGGCTCCGGCCACCACGCCGCTGGAGTGCGCTCCTCAAGCTCACAGACATCCCAGCCAGAGAGCCTCCATCTGCTCTTCCGATCACTTCCTCCCGGGCCCGCACTCTGCAGGTCTCCCCTCTTCAGTCCCGACCCCTGATGCTCCTCGGGGTCCAGCGGCCTGAACGGTTTCATCTGCCTCAATCTGCCACCATCTCACCATCCACGTGGTAACGTCCAACCCTATCGACGGTGCCCGGTGACTCCGCAGGCTACAAGTGGCCCAGGAACACCTAGCACTCAGCCCTTCTACACGGAGCGGATGCCCATCATCGGAGGCGGCGAAGAAGTCCTGAACGTCCACCCGCGAGTCCGTGCTTCTCCAGGACCACCCACCCAGACACCAGCTGAACCGCCCACCCTGCCCCTCCCCCCCACAACAGTGCATCCCTTCTCCTCCTCCTATTTCTCCCAACTCCTCCTGCACTGCCCCTGCCCAGGCCACCATCCAGTCTCACCCGGATGGCCGCCACAGCCTCATCTCCCCGCCCTTCAAACCACTGCTTACAGGATCCTCCTAGAACCAAACCTGATGACCTTACTCTCCGGCTTCAAACCCCTTGATAACTACTCACTGATCTGAGGATAAAGTCAGATTCCTCAGTGAGGCTTGCAAAGACCCAGCTTAGCTACTGAACCTCAGCTTGGACATCCATCCACCTCTACCCACCCTCAGAAGCATCCAGACTGAATGTCAATGGGCCATGCACTCCCGTGCCTCTGGGCCATCAGATATATTTATGCTACTCCTACCTGCCCATCTTCATCTCATTAATTCATACCTGTTCTTCAAATATCCCACTAAGGTGACACCTCCTCCAGAAAGCCTTCCCTGATAGCCCTTTCTCCCTCTTACCATTCCACCACTCTGTCCTGTAGTTGCCCTCTTACTAGCCATCCTTCCATATCTATCTAGGTCTACACTGTCTCCTCAGACCCAGCCAACTGACTGACATTTTATTAGCACTTGGTAATTATTTGCTGAATATAACTTGTTACAGAAAAACAAACTAAGGCATGCAGGACAGAGGTCATCTGGCCTGAGATCACCCAGTGGCAGACCTGTGATTTGACCCCAGGCAGTCTGGCTACAGAGTCTGTGTTCCCAACCACAGAAATATTAGTCCTTTAAAGAAAGTGAAACAGTCCGATTCAAAGAAGGTCTTAAACCCTTTGTTTGTTCACTTTTAATGACCATTTCTAGATAAAAAGAAAAGAAATCAATATTTTTTAGGATACTAATTAAAATCACAAGTGCTCATGAAAACTGGAAAAAAAATCCATAACGAGGCTGCGAAACACATAATCTATTTTCTGAAAAGAACTGCCTTGTAAATAAATACCCAGCCAGAGGAATCATCATAGAAAACTATCCTCTGCTTTCTATTACAAACTTCCCAAAAGGACAGATCATGGCTATCTTTTAATGAATTTTTGTAATGTTGAGTGTCTTTACAGGAAAAATAAGCAGGATGATATGTCTCTACTTCATCACAGGTCCCAGGTTCCCAGAGATGGTGGATCCCTAGAGGCCAGCTCATTCCATTAAAGCCAACTTCCTGCAAATCAGAAATAAGGAGGAGATTCATCCATTACTTTCCAATTCCCATGCTTGTAGGTCTTTCAAGATTTATTTCCACTGTAACAGCAGGCATCCCGCACACTGCTTCAACCGGATATGAAAAGTGAGTTTCACTCCCCTGGCAACAAACCAAAAGAGATGCTGGGCTCCCCAATGCTTGTGTCCATAACCCGGACTCAGTACATCCAGACAAGAAGCAGACATCCCAGAGTGCCTGCACAGAGCCTGCACCCTCCAGACCCTGGGCTCCTCACAACCGAAGCTCAGCACCCACATCTAAACACTCCAAACAAAGCAGGTTCAAAGACACGCACGGAACCACTGGCAGAATCTTCACATGGGATTTTGAACTCTTAGCATCCCACCTACAGAGGTGTTGAGAAAGTAGAGTAAGTTTTCCAGGAAAGGCAATTATACTTGGACAGGTAAAAACCCACATACTCTGACTCTGACTCTGCCAGACTTTTTTTGTGTCTTGCTGTTGTTGGGTTGACTGGTTTTATTTTCTGTTTGTGTTTTAAAGGATGACTAGAGTACATACTACTGGACTTCCCTGGTGACTCAGTGGTAAAGAACCCGCCTGCCGGTCAGGAGACACAGGAGACTCGGGTTTGATCCCTGGGTCAGGAAGACCCCCCCTGGAAAAGGAAATGGCAACCCACTCCAGTACTCTTGCCTGGGAAATCCCACGGACAGAGAAGCCTGGCGGGCTACAGCCCGTGGGGTCACAAAAGAGTTAGACACAACTGAGCAACTAAATAACAACAACAACAGAGTCCACACAAGCAACATAAGCTGGAAAATGTGATCAGGACTTAGGTACCTGCGATCTTGAGACGTCTGTGTGCAGGTCAGGAAGCAACAGTTAGAATTAGACATGGAACCACAGACTGGTTCCAAATAGGGAAAGGAGTACGTCAAGGCTGCATATTGTCACCCTGCTTATTTAACTTATATGCAGAGTACATCATAAGAAATGCTGGGCTGGAGGAAGCACAAGTTGGAATCAAGATTGTCAGGAAAATATCAGTAACTTCAGATAGGCAGATGACACCACCCTTATGGCAGAGAGTGAAGAGGAACTAAAGAGCCTCTTGATGAAAGTGAAAGAGAAGAGTGAAAAAGTTGGCTTAAAACTCAACATTCAGAAAACTAAGATCATGGCATCCAGTCCCATCACTTCATGGCAAATAGATGGGGAAAGAGTGGAAACAGTGACAGAGTTTATTTTGGGGGGCTCCAAAATCACTGCAGATGGTGACTGCAGTCATGAAATTAAAAGACGCTTGCTCCTTGGAAGAAAAGTTATGACCAACCTAGACAGCATATTAAAAAGCAGAGACATTACTTTACCAACAAAGGTCCGTCTAGTGAAAGCTATGGTTTTTCCAGTAGTCAGGTATGGATGTGAGAGTTAGACCATAAAGAAAGCTGAGCGCCAAAGAATTGATGCTTTTGAACTGAGGTGTTAGAGAAGACTCTTGAGAGTACCTTGGACTGCAAGGAGATCCAACTAGTCCATCCTAAAGGAAATCAGTCCTGAATATTCACTGGAAGGACTGATGCTGAAGCTGAAACTGCAATACTTTGACCACCTGATGTGAAGAACTGACTCACTGGTAAAGACCCTGATGCTGGGAAAGATTGAAGGCAGGAGGAGAAGGGGACGACAGGGGATGAGATGGTTGGTTGGCATCACCAACTCAATGGACATGAGTTTGAATAAACTCCAGGAGTTGGTGATGGACAGGGAGGCCTGGCATGCTGCAGTCCATGGGGTCACAAAGAGTCGGACATGACTGAGTGACTGAACTGAACTGGACTGAACTTGCAATCTATCTACAAAATACAATCTCTTTTGTTTGTTTCTGTTCAGGGCTTCGTTATACAGTGCAGCATGCATTCATAACCTCAGAACACACGCCATCAAGCTTTCTCTTCCTCTCTGTCCACTAGATACCAATAAAAACGTGAAGCTCCAGTTCTGGAAGGTTAAACTGCTGAAACGCCTTCTGGTGGGATCTCAGGGCAGATGAACCATCAGACAATATTAGAAGACTATCCTTCCAGACAAAGACCTGGCAGATTACTCTGGACCAGCAGGTCCTTGAAATATTGTAATAGAAAAATGTAAATGTACAGCTGATAATTACTTTGGTGGCTTATCCATCTGTTTGCTTTCTCATATATATGGTTTCATGATTACATTTAATCACCCTCAAAAGAATTATCTTGGTAAGTTCACAGAGCAACATAATAGAGTCACTATAATTCAATATACACTTTTGATTTCCCTGATAAGATAAAGAGTCAGCAATTACTGTTTGTTATCACAACTCCAGTTCTTGTCAATATGATTCAAATTTTACTTGATACACTAATTACATAAACCCTGGCCAACTACAGAAGTCCGCTCTTTGAATTATTTGCAGTGAAGAGCTTGTTTACTGAAACAGGTACTTTGAAAAATTACATTGAATATAAAATGCCCCAGATTCCCTCTGTTATCTAATTTGGAAAATCACCCTGGTTTGAAAGAATACGCAGAATGGTGGCATGGATCTCCTCCTCCTCAGGCTGGTTTCTTTCAAACCATTTTCAATCAACTCCCAACAAATTAACCTAAATTAACAAAGCAAAGCAAGCCCCTGAGTCCTCAAATGCCCCGTGGCCTGCCACCATTCCTAAAACCATGCTTAATTCACTGGATCACTTTCTTGTCAGTTACTGAAGCAACCAAAAATGTCCAAATCGGCGGTAAAAATATCACAGATGGGAGGGCTTTCCAAGGTTAGACAGGCGTTTGCATGCATGCTCAGTTGTGTCCAACTCTGTGTGACCCCAGGGGCTGTAGCCCACCAGGCTCCTCTGTCCATGGAATTTCCCAGGCAAGAATGCTGGAGTGGGTTGCCATTTCTTCCTCTAGAGGATCTTGCCTCTTCTGCATTGTCAGGTGGATTCTTGACCACTGTGCCACCTGCGAAGGCATTTGGGAGGAAGCAAAAACTTCCCACTTGCCTCTTTCTGGCCTCTCCTCCAAATCGGTCTTCCCCTGGACTCTCTGCCACTCGAGCCCTGACCCAGGGTGAGGGCCAGCCACCAGCTCATGGTCATGCCAGCCTCCGGCATGACCCCCAGAGAACAAAGGAACCACACTACGGCCACCAAGAGAGGGACCCAAATACAGAAAGGCCTCCTATGTGATTTGTAGGATTATCCGTACAATACCAAAGCACCCAGGAAGAATGCCAGCAGCCACACAAACCCAGGTCTCTGAACTCGTCCATCAGAGAACACTGATCTGGTAACCAAGGGGAGGCTCTTACTGAATCAAGCCATTGCCAGTCATGGAAAGGGGATATGTGTATCCTTAGGGCTGATTCACATTGCTGTAGGCACAGACCAACACAACACTGTAAAGCAATTATGCTCCAATTAAAAATAAATACATAAAAATAAGATACATTTTAAAAAGATCAATATCTTTTTTCAAAAAATTAATTATCTGTATTTCTAAATTTTTTATTTATTTTTTACCTTGGCTGCACTGGGTCTTCGTTGCAATGTGCAGGCTTTCTCTAGTTGCAGCATGTGGGATCTTAAGTTTTCCAACCAGGTATCAAACCCACTTTCCATGCAATTGCAAGGCAGATTCTTAACCACTGGACCACCAGGGAAGTCCCAAGATACACACATTTAAATTAAAAAAAGCAAAAATATTGACACCCCTTAAACTTTCAGCCAAGAAATAAATCAAAAGTAAACAGGTATGTGCAAAGATAGAAAAATCTATTCAAAAATGCATAAGGACTCCCAAAATAATACTGAATCTGAACAAAAGCTGCAAGACTCACACTTCCTGGTTTCAAAATTTACCGCAAAGCTATAGCTACCAAAATGGTGTGGTACCAGCATAAGGAGTCACTTCTAAGCCAATGGGATAGAACAGCAGGCCCACCAATAAACCCACATGCACCCTCACAACAATGTGAGGTTCAGTTGTCGTTCAGTCGGTAAGTCACGTCCGACTCTTTGTGACCCCAGGGACGGCAGCACGCCAACCTTCCCTGTCCTTCACCATCTCCTGGAGCTTGCTCAAACTCATGTCCACTGAGTCAATGATGCCATCCAACCGTCTCATCCTCTGTCACCCCCTTCTCCTCCCGCCTTCAATCTTGCCCAGCATCAGGGTCTTTTCAAATGAGTCAGTTCTTTGCATCAGGTGGCCAGAGTACTGGAGCTTCAGCTTCAGTGTCAGTCCTTCCAATGAATGTTCAGAGTTGATTTCCTTTAGGATGGACAGGTTGGATCTCCTTGCAGGCCAAGGGGCTCTCAAGAGTCTTCTCCAACCCCACAGTTCAAAAGCATCAGTTCTCAGTGCTCAGCTTTCTTCATGGTCCACCTCTCATATCCGTACATGACTACTGGAAAAAGCATAGCTTTGACTATATGGACCTTTGTCAGCAAAGTGATGTCTCTACATTTTACTATGCTGTTTAGGTTTGTCATAGCTTTTCTTCCAAGGAGTAAGTATCACATGTATGGACAAATGATTTCAAGCAAGACAGCCAAAACCAGTCAATGGAGAAAGGACAGTCTTTTCAACAGTGGTGCCGGGAAGACTGATATCCACACACCAAGGAATGAGGTTGGACCTTTACCTAACACAGTACACGGAAATCAACTCAAAAGGGATCAAAACTCCATTTCTTCAGGTAAAATACATACACCATATTTTTGAAAAAAAGAAAAAAAGCTAACAGGTACAACAGGAAAATTTGCAGGAATCCAATTCTCCTGATAGGTTCAATCACTTCTCTTTGATTTTACACTACTATTTTTTGTTCTTTTTAAGTGGGAATTCTGCCTTTTGGGGGAAAGATCTTGAATACAACCCGAAGCCTTAGCAACACTGAGACCAGAGGTCAGGAAACGGTAGCTCCCGCCCAAATCAGCTTTGTCTCCAGTTTGTTTATGGCCATGAGCTCAAGAATGGTTTTCACATTTTTAAATAGCTGGGGGAAAAGAAATCAGAATAAGACTATGTCATGACACAGTTCTCCAAAGAAGACATACAGATGGCCAATAGAAACATTGCCAATTACTAGAGAAATGCAAATCAAAACTACAGTGAGATATCACTTCACTCCAGTCAGAGTGGCCGTCATCAAGTGTACAAATAACAAATGTTGGAGAGGGTGTGGAGAAGAGGGAACTGCCCCTCCTCTTATACTGTTTGGGGGAATTTAAATTGGTGCAGCCAGTATGGAAAACTATACGGCAGTTCCTCAAAAAACTAAAAACAGAGTTACCACTGATCCAGCAATCCCATTCCTAGACATGGACCCAGACAAAGTTTAAGAAGACACATGGGGGGTTTCCCTGGTGGTCCAGTGGCTGAGAGTTTGCCTCAGTACAGGGAACACAGGTTTGATCCCTGGTCAGG